CACACACACACACACACACATAAATAAATAAAATTAAAAAACAAAAACAAAAACTTAAGATGAAGGGAACTCTATCACTTAGCCCAGTGTGGGTAGGTAGGTGTTCCTTCTGCAGTACTCATGCCAGATGGTAATCCAGCTGTATATACTGCCACATCAGCATAGTTGTAAAATGCATGCTAGGGATGGACTTGGTACATATCCTAAGGGGCAAGATGACATCTCATCATATCTATGGAATTAAGTGACCTGTAGTAGTAACCAAAATAATAGCATTGTTTGTTTTTTGAAGCCTTTTTAAGAAGTCCAGCCTAATAAGGTTTTGCAGCCATAAAAAGTCATAAAATAAAACTGCAGTCCTTTTTCTTAAGTTAGTAGGTTAGTAGATGGTGAAATATAAAATATGATGTGGTAGGTTTTGTTATTCATTGTTGTATCTCAGTGCCAGAAATAGTAAATGTAGAAATAGGAAGTACTTTGGGGTTCTTGGTTAAAAAAAAAAAGTAGGGCAGATCAAAAGGAGCAAGAGGTTGGAATTTAGCAGTGTTTATGGGTGAAGACTGGCAAGAAATTGGTGGTCTATGGCTGGGTGTGGTGGTGAAGGTCTGCAATCCTAGTGTTCTGGGAAGCTGAAGCAGGAGAATTGTGAGTTTGAGACCAATCTTGACAGTGTAGCAACTTAGTTAAGACCGTATGTCAGAAATGAAGAAAAAAAGTCTGGGGATGTACCATGGCCCCTGGGCTCAATCCCCTGTAGTATAGAAAATAAAAAATAAATTGGTGGGCAAGGCAGGTTAGGCAAGTTATTATAGGGTGGGCTTTCAGATAAGATGCTAGGCAGTAGTTTCAAGCAGAAATAAGGGTATCTTACAAATATTTTTGGAAAGCAAGCATGGAATGGGACAAAGTGTTATAAATGACCAGTTTTGGACGCATTGATGGAGAGAATGTTGGCACCAGTGAAAGCAACAAAGTTAATATATGTTAAAAGAAGTATGATTTTTGATGCTTATATACTAGGGTATGTAGGTATTGTGCAAGTATTTGGTGGTCTGTAATAAAAATGCAGAAGAAACAGGTTTCAGTTTGGAATTTCTCATTAAGAAGTGACTACTGAAACCATAAGAACTTGAGCCTTGTGCTTAGGGGTCAGTTGAAGCTCTGGGGTTGTCAGCATTGGACTTGTTTTCCCATAAAAGCCAAGTGAATTCTATCTGGATAGGTAAGAATGCTGTCAAGTTAGAAACAAGTTTTAAGAATGAGGCAGCCAGGATCACTGAATTTTGAGGAGTGGTTCAGTACAATGAAAATTGTAGGAAGTGGTTGGAAAGGAGTGGTAGAAACCACATTACCAGGTGTTAAAATACAAAGTGGAATCTGGAGATGGAAGGCAAGATGATACAAGAATTTTCTGTTTGTACCGGAAGTAGTATGGTAGAAAACATTTTGTTGGTAATCTATATCATATATTTTTAATAATTTCCGGCCAAATAGCTCAGCGGATTAAAGCGCCTGCAAGCAGGAGCAGGGGCTGGGGTTCAATCCCCAGGCCTGCTATGCTGGCCCTACCCGCTGGGTGTGCTGAGATGGCAATTGAGACCGGGTGTGGTGGCGCATGCCTATAATCCCGGCTTTTGGGAGGCTGTAAACAGGCAGATCACGAGGAGTCCAGTCTAGTAGTGAGACCCTGAACACCCTGTAGGCCCTTCCCTAAAATACAGAAAACAAAACAGTTTTGTTTTCACTGGAACATTTTACTGATGATGATACATGGAAGCATCTTTAGTGAAAATTGACTCCATGAAATAAACCAAGGCATTCCCCAAAGTGGAGGAACTACTTCATGTCTTTTTGGGGATTTCCTTTTCTCTCATGATACTGTTCCATTAGTCTTTAACTGGTATTTCAATCTATATTTGTTTTTAGCAATCTAAGCACGTATTTCTGTAACAAAGGGTATGTTAAATTCTTTTGAATGTGGACAGTTAATATACTTTGTAGTTGATTTACTAACAGACATACTATTAGTGGATTAGTGTTTTTCTTACAATCTTTTCTTCTTGTATTGCATCCAATATAAATTATAATGATATCCTCTAAACTTGTGGGACCTAAATTTTGGCTGTAGTTCACATTAGTCACCTGAAGAACGTAAAAACTTGTGAAACTTGAGTTGTACTCTTACCAATTAAATCCTAGAGTGGGAGCCAGCCACCAATGTGTTTTTCAGGTTATGTGGTGATTCCAGGGTACACCAAGGTTTGAGAATCATTGCCATAACTTTATTAAATTTTGTTTTTAGATTAATGACACCGAGTTCTTTTATTGGAGGGAGTTAGTTTCAAAATGCCTAGCGGAGTATTCTTCACCAGAGTGTTGCAAACCAGATCTTAAGAAGTTGGTTTGGATTGTTTCAAGGCGTACAGCCCAGAACCTCCACAGCAGCTACTACAGTGTTCCTGAACTTCCCACCATCCCCGAGGGGGGCTGTTTTGATGAAAGTGAAAGGTAAAGAGGTTTATACACAAATAAGAACTGTAGAATACTATAAAATATGGCACTGGAGAATGTCCGTTCTCCTGAAGATATGTGGGCAAATTAATCATTAGTAGTTTCAGTACAATAGGTAGTGATTTACTTGTCCCTTTCCTTTGGTCTCATTTTCCTTGTCTTTGAAATACAGTTCTTACAATCTTTTCTTCTGTGTATTGCATCCAATATAAATTATAATGATGTCCTCTAAACTTGTGGGACCTAAATTTTGGCTGTAGTTCACATTAGTCACCTGAAGAACGTAAAAACTTGTGAAACTTGAGTTGTACTCTTACCAATTAAATCCTAGAGTGGGAGCCAATTTTTTTATTAAAAAAAAAAAAGATCTGGGTATGGTGGCACACCCCTGTAATCCCAGCACTTAGGAGGCTGAGGCAGGAGGGTCACCAAGATTTGTAGCCTAGCCTGAACTACTTAGTGAGATCCTGTCTCAAAAAGCCAAACCAAACTAAAACTAAAACAGTATTCAGGGCCTTGTAGGTTAGTCAGGATTTCTTGTGCAGTGCTAGGGGGCAGTTGACTAAAACATGGGTACCCATCACCACTGAGGGGAAGACTCACAGATGTTGATATAGTTTGGTCAGATGTCATTGTCATTGTAGGCATGAATGATTTTGTAAAGTGAATTATTCAGTTTTACTAAATTGGATCGTCTTACGCACTTTAGATAAAGATAACTTGTTTCTTACTTGGGTGTCTGAGAAGGCCAGTGATGGAATTAGTGATAGAAGAAAGACACTGAAATAGACGGTAATCTAGAATATATGTTGTAAAAAAAAAAAAAAAAAAAAAA